CACTCAAGTTCGCCTACAGACCATTCTGAACAACCCACCACCATCGTTGACGAAAGGGGAGGTTAACAACTTCAACTGTAACATCCGCATCTGCTGGTTGAAAGGCCTGCAGTTCAAGATGGGGCAGATCGAGGTACAGTGGTCCAATGCATCCCAGTACCTACCAGTGTGAGGACTCACTTCATCTTTGTTCTTCTACAGGATGGGGTAGAGGACCAGTGGTCCAGTTTAAGGGTCAGCCACTTTCCATAACACTTCTGATTAAAAACCAGTTTTCTGTTTTTGAACCAACACTAGAAGCATATTAAAGCTGGTTAATTTGTGTATGTTTAGTATGTATAATGACTTGGTGCTACTGTATATTAGTAACTCATACTCTAATTGTAACCCACCATAATAACCAAGCAAACAAGATGTTTTACAGTACAAATATCAATAAATATCATTCTGCCTTGGCCAAATTCTTATTTCAATTCTATCCCGGGACACTGATTGCGTTTCATAGGCCCTCATGCAGGAAGAAATACAATAAAACGTCCATTTTACGAATAGTCGATTTTACGAATGGTCTTTGCCCCTGATGACGTCATGACCCATCAATTAATTACTGTAAAACAGTCCGATTGCGCACGTTTTACTAAGTGATAATGTATATTTTTCTTGATAAAATCAAGTTTGTTGTATAGGTATTTTGATATTAATAGTTCCATCTTTTCTTCTATTTCTGGTATAATAATCACTATATTAATGTAATAAACCTAACCAGAACAACGAACTACCAATGCTAGTGTCGTCAGATTGAGCGCACATGTTTACGATGACGAAAGAGAGTGTTGGGGTCACCAACTTACTGACATCGTGAATGCTGGATATGATCGCGAAATGCATGTAAACATTTCAGCAATCTAACAACTAGAAAGAACACGATAGAAAGGTCCATAAAACATACAGATGTTTGAATAGGATTAAATAACATTTTGTTATGAAGAATGCCAGCGATTAAAATAATTTGGTTTTTATCGAAGATAAATTCAGCTAGGCTCTAGCGCGATAGACCACGCTGCTTCACTGTCAGTTCATGCTAGGCCTGGACGCTGTCAGCCTATCGGCGCTCAATAGCAGGCGATAGCTAGACCTATGTATTGGAAACTGAAACCCGATCTAATTTACAAATTTTTCAATTTACAAACCCCTTGGTACCAAGGGGTATGTAAAATGGACGTTTTACTGTAGTTGCTTTCTGTGTGAGGATAGTGAGCATAGGGAACAACTGGGAAGTAGATTGTTTGTTAGTAACTAATTGACTGGTGTATAACCACACATAAAGATACAAACATTTCACTCTGCTACAAAATCAGTATACTGTAGAAACATGGTATGTGTTTAATTTCTTTCACCGTAATGTAACAAGTATTTTTTACCATATACTTTTCACCAAAAATGATGTTTTCTGTGTTGTATTGTAGAGTACTCATTTGAGTAAATTTCATGTGTGTGTTAACGATATTTGGTTAGCTGTTTTAGTGATTGATTGTGGTGGTAAATTCTATTGTAATTTCTTGTCTACCCATTTAGCGTATTTTTTTATTTCAAAACATCCAAATATGAAGAAACTATACAATAAACATATCACACGGTATAATGTAAATTATCTATGTACCAGTGTCAACATCCTAAACATTCATGTGATTATATTAAGTGATAATCCCACTGATATTCTAAACACATCCGGAAATTTCATATTACTAATACTATTTCCATATTTATATACAAGTGTATACATTTTTATGATGGTAGTTTGCAATGTATTGTTGCAATCACAATTCTGACTCTCATTACTACTTGGTAACTTTACCAACTGAGCTATTAGGCCAAATTGCTATACAACATAGGATTATTTTCCTCCATTAGGACATTTTTTAATCAAGGTATTCAGTAGCGAATTCAAGGGGATGGCAGGCCAATGCCCTCCTACACCCAATTAGTCAAAATTAATTTTTAAAATGGTGAGAAAAAGAAAATGATGTTACTGTAAGTGCTTGAATAGGCGCTGCGGCGCTTAATCATGAGTATATAATATTACACTGTGTGTAATGAAACAGGGTTTTAAATTCAATGTACACAGTGTTAAAATAAATAAATAACACAACGAAGATACAATCATTTCATGTTTACGATGATAGGACCCATGATAGACCTATTTAACTACGGGAATACGTGAAGTAAGTAACATTGAAACGGTCATGGAAAGTGCCACGCCAGTATTTTTTTTAAGCGCCGCTCTCGAATAAGCGCCGCACCGAAGCCTCCAACAATTTTATAAGCGCAGTGGCGCTTATATAATTTCCAGCCATCCAGAGGTGCCATAATCATAAATCTTTGCACCTCTGCCCCAACCATGTTGGGTCTAAGGTGGTCCAGACCCTCCATCCCTAGGCCGCCTCTGTGTCAAATTCCTGAATCTGCCACTGGTATTGTATAATTCACAATCTATAAATATTTAAACATTGAAGTTATGAAAAGTAAGAGGTAGTCATTTTATTTAGCATTTGCCAATGGCTACCCTATTTATTTATCAGAGTATCTTAGTATTGTCTGTAAAGAATAGCTATTTTTGCAATTATTATCTACTTCGTGCTTTTATCCATTTTCTGAATACTTATCTGGATGAATCGGTAAATGCCAATATTATTCCTATGATTAATTTCATTATTTATCATTTTTATTTGACAAACTTTTACTTTATATTCATAAAACCAATTAGATGAATTTTTAAATTATAATTTATGAATTGTTAAAATGTAGTAAAATAGCTTTTAATTTTTTATACACAGATAAGAGTATTATTAATTATATATTAGTGACATAAGTAAGAAATATGGTATTTTGCGTGCAATCTGACCAAGGAAGATACCCTGTGCTTCTGAACAAAACATATATAAAATAATATAGTATAGTGTATAGTATTTATCATGATGTGAAAATGTACAGTAGTGTAGTAGAGTGTAGTAAAAATATATTATGCTTTTTACATTTATGTTATTAGCTGTTGCAAAGCTATGTGTGTTTTCTCCAAATAAATATAACGATAATATATACAAGTGCTTGTGCGTTTTTATTTACACACATTTCTGTGCGCTGAACTTTCAGTGGATTCTTAAATTAATCACACAACATTGGTAAGTTCTAGACTACAAAAATTATTTTTAGTCAAATTTATTTTTTTTAAAGCGACACTCGTTCACATGATGGTGCATTCACAGTTTACACAACTCAGGTTCAATATATACTTAATTAAAATCTAAGCTATTCTAATATTACCCAAAACAAAGTAACTCATTAAAATTATGTCACATAAATATAGAAATCAAAGTTAAACTAATAAATTATGCTTATACTGTATATAAACATATTTACTACGGTACCGTAAAACCTTGAATTGATGCCCTTGTACATTTTGGGAATTAGTACTATAGAACAATTAATAGGGCAACTGTAACATCAATCTGTATCCTGGAGTGTATTAAACCAAGCGTCTTTTTAATTTATTTTGTTTAGGCTTTGAAATTCATGTACAGTATATGTACTGTACTATCTTCAAAAGAATACCATGCTATCTTGAAAAGAAGCCCATTGGTAGTCGTTTCCTTTAAAAAAAAAAGTAGATTTTTATCCTACAGGAATCATCATCACATGATCATCATTATCTCTACCGTCATCGATGTCATCAATCATCATCATCTCCATCACAACCATTATCGCTATCATCATCATCATCATCATTACTATCATCATCAATAATCATCATCATCAGGGGCGGATGCAGAGAAGGGGGCCGAAAGTGGGGCCGATCGATATAACACTACCCTAGGGGGTCCGGGGGGCATGTCCCCGCGAAATTAAAAAATAACCTCTGAGGCGTTTTCGGCGATCAATGTTTTCTTTTCCTCTATTTCTTTATTATTTTAACCTTCCGAGGGAGTG